TAACCAATAACTCTATCTAGATTATAGAGATAACTGCCAAGGGTTAAATAACCAATAACTTTATCTAGATTATAGAGATAACTGCCAGGGTTAAATAACCAATAACTTTATCTAGATTATAGAGATAACTGCCAGGGTTAAATAACCAATAACTTTATCTAGATTATAGAGATAACTGCCAGGGTTAAATAACCAATAACTTTATCTAGATTATAGAGATATTTTAGCAATATAAAACGAACACTTATTTTAATAAAATGTATATTTATTTTTAACTAGGCCTACAAATGTAGCCGAATGATAGGTGGAAATACCCTTAGAAACAGTGAAACAGAGGTACGTACCTGTACATTTACCCACTATATTACTGTACAATTAAGGACCCGATATATAGGTTTCGTGGGTTAGCAGATCTGTTTCTTGTTCACTTCAGTGTGAAAGGGGGATTTAGCTCCTGGAAATACGCAGTGATTACTTTAATGGGTAGTCAGTTATTTATGAAACGATCGATTTTCATGAGATGGTAAACAGGTTATGAAAGAGGGACACGATGAACTGGGTTTTAAAATTATAAATATACACTTCCGTACACGCTTTTTATTATGTATCAGAAATTGTCTTTTTTATAATAGATTGATATAATAAGATAGAAGTATGTAAAAAAAAAAGCTCGAGGACTGTCTTCGAGGAGAAATCGGAAAATTCAATTTAATTGTGCATTTTAAATTATTGCTTCTTAGTAAGTTATTTCTGATCATTTATTATGTATTTCTATCAGGATCTTTTTTATAATCTAGTTCAATACAACTTCGGTAAATAGTGTGTTTGTCAAGGATATCAGTCGTTCATGGACGTCAGTTTGTACTGTGATATGTGTATATATATTGAACCAAATAATTATTATCAGACGATCGATGATCATGAGCGTAAATAAAACATGTCTGTATTTATCTATATGGACTTCTTTCGAGTTCTTTGTCTTATCAAGAAAACTAATTAATTAAAGCCGATCCAGTTTATTTAGTTTCAGGTATTTGCCCAGAAGCACTACATGAATTTGAAATTGTGTTATCAAACGGATAACACATTGTAGAAAAACAACCAGACTCTGTGGTGTTATTTAATTACGCTAATTTATTATTACAGATTATTTTCACACTTTGCTACCAGATTGGTGCTTATTCACTGTTTCAAGTGTTTTCCTAGTCATGATTAAAGCATTAGTTACGATATTCAACATATTATAAGAGCTTTATCAGAAAATATAAATATTATAGCGTCATACGAGTAATACCAAACATATGAAAACCATAACCCTGCTTTAAAGTTTTGTCAAATACGGGATAATCTTATATCCGCTTAGAGCATTGATTGTATGGCAATATTTAGTCGTTAACAAGTAATTTGACTTGGTAAGAAATATTGTGTGTGTGGATAGGATCAACCATAAATGCTTGGAAATCCCTCTTTTATGGTTTCAGTATTAGTGAGCTGTAAAAAATAAAATGTTGAGCTATACATGCATTAGTGTATCAAATATTTTGATTGTTGTTTGTAAGGTGTTACAAAATATTATTAATGAATTTTAATCCCGTCCGATATTTCATTTATGAGTTTTGATGGTTGAATGATTTAAAGATTAATGTGTCGGTCATCATAAAACTAATTTTATTTATATGCCACCCCCACGTACAAAATGGGATACCACTACATATATGTATTATTTTATATTGTCGTGGATATTTTCTATTTTGTTAAGAAGTCCATATTAATCAGTTATACGTAGAAATGCTGACATTCAATGTTAACTCTCTATTTACTATATTATTAACAGAATACGCCATCGTCTTTGTTTTTCAGGAATCTACTTTGTTCTGTCGTTATCCTGAATTGTTAGCTTGTCTTTGTTTTGTTGAATCTCTAGCTGACAACGAAGTCCTTGTGGTAGAAGGTTTGTTGTCTTCGACTAATCCTGGAGTAAGTTATATGAAATGATTCTACCTCATACGTAAACTTGGTGGTGGTGATAGCTATTTTACACATTATACTAACTTTGTTCGTTTACTTAGTAAATTAAGCACTTATATAAGTTACACTAATGGTAATTAAACTTCATGGGAGTTATTATTAGTAAATTAATTGTTTATATACAATGTGTTTGTTAACAACGCGTTCTGTGATTATTTGCATTCGATATAAAAATCAAAATGTCACTGTTTTAAGTAAACATTTTATATCCCTTTCAGCTAGATCTCGAGACTTAACAATATTTGGTGATTAAGATGTTACTAGATAACCTTGATCTTTGACATTGGCAGGTATTTAAGCATTCCTACTATTTTTCATGTTTTAATTTTAGTTGAAAATAGTTAAGCTGTTATTGTCTTTTAGAGTTTTTTTTTTTCGCCTGGTTCTGACAACAAATATTGATTTTAGGTGACTGATATGCGTTTAATGGACATCTGCGACTGTTTCGACCGTCCTTTCAAGCAGTACGAGGACAGTTCCTTACTCCGAGAGCTGAATAAAGCCCTTGTTGCTTTTATTCAGCCAAAGAGTCAAGGACGCCGCTTCCATGTCGACCAGAGTTCGAGCTTTGAAGAAACTAGTTCGGTTATGTTAACTAACAGCCAAGGAAAGAAAACACAAGATTCGTTAAAAAAACATATTCATAATAGTGAATGTAGCAAAGGAATATGCTGCGATAATACAATCTTGTTTAATGATTCAACCAATACGAAATGTGTTTCATCAGAAGAACATTCCATTATTAGTAACAATAAATTTAACGGTAAGAATTATCATGAAGAAACTCGCTTCATTAACACCAAGCTTTCCAATTGCTCAATCGTCAAAAACTATACGGATGAACATTTTCTTAGAAATGAAGTTGGACCTGTGGTCGATGACAGCCAGAAGAATCATTGTTCCAATACAAGTCTTCCCCAATGTTCAGCCGTTGATGTGAAAAACTATACAGATGAGAATTATGTTAGAAATGAAATTGGATCTAAGGATGATGACAGCCAGAAGAATCATTGTTCCAATACAAGTCTTCCCCAATGTTCAGCCGTTGATGTGAAAAACTATACAGATGATAATTATGTTAGAAATGAAATTGGATCTAAGGATGATGATATCCAGAAGAAACATTGTTCCAATACAAGTCTTCCTCAATGTTCAGTCGTTGATGTGAAAAACTATACAGATGATAATTATGTTAGAAATGAAATTGGATCTAAGGATGATGATAGCCAGAGGAATCATTGTTCCAATACAAGGCTTCCCCAATGTTCAGCCGCTGATGTGAAAAACTATACAGATGATAATTATGTTAGAAATGAAAGTAGAGATCTTAGTGATTATGGCCAAGAGAGATCTTGCTCCAAGAACAGACTTTTTCATGATTCACATGCCAATAATGCAAAACCTCGTTTCAAAGCAAAGCTATTAAATTATTTGGCCAATGTGAAATTTTTCATACCACAAAAACAAAAAATCAAAAATGAAAATAATAGTAAGCACTATTTTAGAAGTATATCAGATTATATTTCTCCAAAAGTACCAAGGTTTGTCTACAGGAAGCAGCTTAACATGCAGCAAGACCAAAGGTTTATTGACAAATCCGAAATCCGTGCAAGTTCACTTGATCACAAAAACAATGGATTAGGTAGCGATACTAACCAAAAACTAAGTAGTTTAACAGCAGCGGACATAGAGAATAATACAAAGAGAATTATCAAAAGAAGCCCAGAGACTAGCGATACAGAAACCAACAGCCACTCACACAGCCCAACTCAGAAAGACCATTTCAAAGCTCAACTTAAAACACATTCTTTTCTTTGTAAGGATACAGCAATAAATTCACCAGTATCTGACGGTTTTGAGACAGAGATAAAAACTATACAGTACAGTGGATCATCACAGAAATCAAGGTGTAAAAACTTGTCAAAATCAACGCAGAATTCGACCTGTGAAATATTAAAACCAAACCCCTGGTCATCAGAAAGTTCAAAGTGTGAAAATGAAAGTCATGGAAGAATGTCAGATACTTCTGATTATAAGAATTCATTACCTAATTCTAGTTCAGGATCAGAGATTTCTTCTCAGTTTATGAGTTTAGCTACATTGGAGGAAACTTTTGTAGATACTGGAAACAGCGAATCATCGGAACATGGGCTTTTAAGGCATAATCTACCCATCCATCAATATAAAGAAAGAGACAGTCTTGACTTAAATTCAGAAGAATCTTCCTGCAAACGATATGCTCAATCTGAAAACATTGAACAGCAACACATTTCAGAATCATTCACTAACAAAACCTTCTCATTAAGCAACGCGAAAGGGGGCATAACCAACAATTCAAATTTACTTACAACATATGAACAACTTGATGCATGTCATCCTATATGTACGAATTGTAAACCTTGTTTTCATACTAGTTCCAAAAGTTCTAAAAATACTGAAACGTCTCAGTGTAAATCTTCAAGTAGATCAAGAGCTTTCTTCAAAAATTTTAAAGACTCTTGGACAAGTGAAAGCTCACTGGACTCATGGAAATCGGCAAATCAAAATTCTGAAGAAAGTAATGAAAATTACGTTATCAAAGAAAGATCTAGGAATTTATTAGGATTTCGTCTATCGAGAGAGAGACCTTTAAATGTTTTAGAAAAAGAGCTTTTGCCTAGAGTAAACCATAAAGTTTTCAAAAGGTGTGAACTAACTCATGAATACACAAATTCATCCGAACATTTTAGAGGAGTAGATAAGAGAGGTCAAGTGTCCATGGATGATGAGTACTTTACAGCGGATGAGAGCGTAGATCAAGGTACAATCATATAGTTAGTTTTAAGACTAGTATTAAAGATCATGATAACTTGTTTCATCCAAAATTTATTTGCAGATGAAGCCATAGAAAAATGTTCTACTCTTTCTAGTGTTTAACATAAGAAAGACAAATACATTGGTTTGTTTTGTATTTTTAATTAAGCACAAAGCTACACAAGGGCTATCTATGCTCTGCCCACCACGGGTATCGAAACCCGGTTTCTAGCGTTGAAATTCCGTAGACATACCGCTTTGCCACTGGGGGGGGGGGACATTGGTTCATAAGTAATAATAGCTTATTATTATTGTTCTGTAAAAAATATAAAAAGACGGTATGGTGTCATTTTTTTTATTTTGTATAGATAGTGGGCCTGGTAATAAGCATGGCGACCTGTGCATCTGAGGGTTTATGGCTCACGTCTCGTTGCCGCAAAAACACGCTACGCACTTTGTGTTCGTGGGTGCAGTACAAGAGTGACGGTTAAATCCCACTATTCTATTACATTAGTTCAAGAGGTGGCGGAAGGTGTTATTGACAAGTTGCTTTACCTCTAATCTATCAGTTCAAAATTACGCACGGCTAGTTTAGATAACCGTTGTGTACCTTCGTGAGGCTTTCTGAAACAGACAAAAAAGATTTTCGATTAGTATGTGTCTGTGTGTGTGTGTGTTTTATAGCAAAGCCACATCGGGTTATTTGCTGTGTCCACCAAGGGTAATCAAACCCCTTATTTCAGCTTGTAAATCCGCAGACTTACCGCTGGACTATTGGTGGACTATTGAATAAGAATAATACGTCAAAACAAAAGAGTCATGGGAAATATTAAGTATTAGCATTTTAATTTAAGCTATTTGATATCTAGAAATTTATCAGTAAGAAAAAAAAGAGAAGAAAAATATATATAAATATATATAAAAAGACTTCTTAAATATCTGCATCCCGCAAATAACAAATTCTTGAAAAGGTTAAAGTTAAGTCATTTTCTTCACATTTTTAAAACATTAGAAAATTTACTATGTTTAGGAAGACAATAATTCAGTGTACTTAGCTTTTTTTGAGCTTGCATAAAATATTGATGATGAGCTGAAGCAAAGTGTTTTTTCTTATTTTTTACAGACTACTCATCATGCTCTTATTCAGAAAAAGATGAAAGCGAATTCTCTCAGAGTACTGAGGATATTTTAGAGGATGATAGAAGTCAACTTTCGCGTGGTAGTTCGATTGGTTTTGTTTTGGAAGGAAGTGATTTAGATGAATCTTTAACTGTTAGTTTATGTGAACACAACGATGATTTCATGAAGAGAGATTGTCTCCGACACCAGAAATTGTCCGGTCGGAGGACAGAGAGCTCAAGTAAAAGCAGCGAAATGGACAACATTATTGAAGATCCCAAATTAGGTTTCACTAGATTTCCTATTATCCCAATCAGGTCGGCTAACTCAGAGCCTTGTCTCCTACATATGTCGCCATCAGATCCAGCACTAGCTTTACCACCACTACAGATCCCCAAAGATGTCATCGCTACATCATGGAGGGGCCGGAATTTGTTGATGTTTACTGGAAAAGGAAACCTTAAAGCATACTCATATGATGGTGTTAATCCTAATCTTCCGGTTCCTTTCAAGGCTAGGTTTAGATGCAAAAAAACATCCAATGAAGAACTTAGCAGGGACGACCATTTCTACTCTTTCGCTGATGCTTCACTTTGGCACTGGGGGTCAGCAGGATCAGTAAGTGGAGTTTCTTCCATTAAAAGTTCTTTAGGGGACCTTTTCAGCGATAAAGAGGACTCTATTAACAACGACAAATGTAACTCGTTGCAACATTCAAAGAATGAAAGTTATGAGCAAGTAGATATGGAAGCGAAAAAGGTATTTCTTGCAAGTTGTTCGAAAACAAATTTCATTACTGATTTATTGATAATGTGTGATTCTCTCAAAATATATTGTTACGTCTTTGCTCGTTTGTTAATTTCCGGTATAAATTCTTTCCGAGGAACTTCAATGACACAAGTCCTTTCTTAATTAAAACTAGTTTATTCTTCCTCGATACAACTTTGTAATACACAGAATTTCCAATCAGTACGTTAGACTTAACTACTTTTATAACACACGCTATAAATCACACTGATTCACACACTTTACTTACGGTGCCTACTGTTCGCTTGACTCAATTACCTATATGTTCAATCACGCTGGTTTTTCTCGCCAGGCGTATATACTAAAAAAGAGGGCGTCTAGCAAACACTCGGACATTCGCGGGGTTCCTCGATAATTCGAAAAACTCCAGCGCGCATGCTCCCAGCGTCACGCGACTTCCGCTGTCGTAACAATATATATATATATATAATTTTGAGTTACAAGGTTTCAAATATCAAAACAGATTGAATGACTTAAAATGTAAAAATAATTGAGGTACATTACGAAGGTTAGATAGTTATTTGCATTTCACTTTTAGTTATTTAATTGAGAAAGTTTAGTGTTATCATTTTTCATATCATTATTTTTTATATACAAGAATTACAAAGCACAAGTGTCAGAAATGATACTATAACCACTTTAAATCTTATTAACAAAAGTTGAATAGATTATGGGTAAACTTAAATCGTTTGTCTGACTAAAAAAGGTATTATTCAACAGCTCTGTAACACTTCAACGTCAGAGGAACTGCGTCCGGTGGCGACACACTGTAACATTTCAGGAGACTGTCAACTTCATGTTATTATTTTATGGATAGCTGCCAGCAGAGCAGGTCTTCCTTCCCTTATCGTCTATACAGATGGAGATCAAAGGTTATCCCTGGTCAGTTTCATGTCTTTAATTGTATAAACAGTATATGAACATCATTTTTGTTAACATTATCCTATTAAATTAAATACCTCAATTCTTTTTATTTTTAAAAATGTATTGAATTTTTAATCGAAGATATTATAGTGACAGAGGATTTACTAATTTATAAAGTAACTGAAAACTTTATGGATTCTGCCTTATACATTGTTCATTGCCAGCTAAGCTGTATGACAAGTAATCACACGTGATATCTGTTAATTTAATTTAGCACAGATAGTTCTTATGTTGCTTTATGTGAATATCCGAAACAAACAAACAAAGTAACAACAATCTCAGTTACATAAAAAGAGCCACTTGAAAACTTTAGTTTTGAAGGGATTTTACAGTGCTTGTTTAGAATTTTAACACAAAGCTACACAGGGGCTATCTGTGTATAGCGTTCCGAATTTTAAAGTAATCGACTAGAGGGAAGACACCTCACAGCTAACACTTGTACTATTCTTGTATGATCAAATAATAGGTTTTAACTGTCATTATTATAGAGCACTCACGGTTTGAGAGTGTGGAGCACATTTTTGGACTCAATCCAACTTTATAGTGAATAATCTCTTCATCCATTTGAAATTCTCAATAAGAATGTTAAACAATTATTCCTTAGTTGAATGGCATCAAACCTATAAAATAACTAGAAAATTAAATTCAACACATTTTCTTCATTCTCACCGTTAGTTAACAGAAGTATGTCATCAGGCTGAAAAGCGAGGGTGGACAGTTGGAGACGTGGCTTGTGAAACTCTTCGGTTTTGCAGAAACCAACTCTCTAACGGACAGAACAAGAGTGATAAACACAGAGAGACAACTCTCTTCCGACATTTGATAGGTGAAGATAATGTTATTACCTCGGATCTTTAGAAGAGATGTAATGGAAACCATGGAATGTTATATCATGTCACATTTATAAAATATCTTAGTTTTTCCATTTATACTGTAAATATCTCGTTCTTGTATAACATAATTTATATTGAAAATACGTCAACTGAAGTCAGAAAAGAATTAAAAATTATCTTAATTATTTTGAAATTTAGCAGGTTATGAAGCTTGTGAAATTTGTTTACTTAATCTTTATCTTTTGTGTATAATATTCAGAAGCAATTTTTATAAAATTAAAATGATATATTTGACTTAATGAAATTACTGAATGTCAGCCAATAATTAAGAATTCGAATACGTGTTGGAAAAACTAAGTCAAGTATTAACATTACAATGAATTGTAAACTACCTTCAATTTCAGTTAAATCCTTTGATGGAAATTATTACAGGTAATGGTAAAAAAATCCCAAATTTCTGATTTGGTTTGATAGAGCCCACTATTGCCTAATGCACAGTATCAGAAATTTTACATCTTTACCCCTAAATTAAATTCTGGCCAAACTAGAACAGTTCTAATTTACCAATGCCATACCACCTTTTTTTTTATTCTCAGGCTAAATACATGTAATAATAAATAAATAATACTTGTGAACCAGTGTATTTGTTTTTATTGAGTAAAACACATTTTTTTTAATACTGTTACGTCTACGTTTGTTAATTAATTTTCCGTAACTTCGTTCCGACGAAACTTTAGCGACACCGGTCCTTTCTTAAATAAAACTGGTTTATTCTTTCTGAATATAACTTTGCGATACACTTAATTTCAACAGTCGCGCTATAACAACGAACTTCTCACGTGCTCAACTTCAATAATATTCAGTTCAATTACACACTCTCTGACTGCAGTTCAATTACTCATTACCTACACATTATCCCGTCACTTTGTGACCATCTTATATATACCAGAATACCCCCAATCTAGTAATCTCCCGACAATTCACGAAGATTCGAGAAAGAAGTGGCGTGATACTAGTCACGTGACCTCGCTGACGCAACAATATCATAAACTTAACTGGTTAAGTTAGTGAAAGCTGACTTATTACAGACTTTGCCGTGGTCCTAGAGGTAGTTGGTGTTACGTATGAGAATTTCAAATTGTCTGAACCCGAGCTAAATGATACTTTAAATTTATCAGTTAAATTGTAATTTGGATTTAGTAGTTAAATTAAAGCCGATATATAGTCAGTTTATGATACTTGCCAACAAGATTGATACATACAGTTTTCTCTTTTAACCCAAGTACGTTTTAATATACGCACAACAATACAATTTACAATAACAATTATTACAAATACTTATTATAAACGAAAGTTTCACAAATTTACAAGCAATATAAAGTCTTCTTTCTAGTTTGAAACTTCCTTGATATATTATCGAGGATTCACGATGAGCGAGTTGATTACGAGTTGATATAAGCACAATTCACTTAGTAGGAGGTTAGCTAGCCCTTAGTTCTCCGTCATCACTCGCCGATGACAGGTCGCGTTTCACCGATGACGTCAGCTAATGTTTTCGTAAAAATACTAATATCCGATGGGAATCCACTGAAGTTAAACGATGTGTAATGTTCGAGCTTTGTAAAGGTTCCTGGTCAAATATCTGTAGTTTTCCGATTAGTAAGCGTTTTATTACAATCACAGTTATAGTATCCGAAGTTTTATAGCACACTGACTATAGCTAACTAATAATAGACATAGTTTTTGGCGCGTCACGTCGGTTATATTTATAGCCGTGGGAAGGTTTTCTAGAAAATTCAGATTACGTAACAATACAATTTGAGTGTTTACGTA